TTGAACCAATGTCTAACTTTATTCCCAAACCCACATCCCGCGTTATACAAATACAATAAAAGCACTTTCTAAACTACAAATAATCCTATGAAAATTGTTCTGTTTGTATTACTAGAGAAACTTTGATACACCAAATCCATTGAGCATCTTGGAATGTGGTACTACACTGGGTCTCCTGAAAAAGGAGACTATTATCTTTATCCTGTTTTTAAAACCATGGCTCAGAGAAAGCCTTTCCTCGGGCTTCACGATCACTCCTCCAGGTAGCCGTGCGGACCTCGGCCCCATTTCCCACCTCCTACAGGGAGCTCAGCCGCTGTGCCCTCGAGGATGTCATCACACAGCTTTAGCTGTTACTTATATCATCCAGGCCGCCCCTGGAGGCACACCACCGCCGCTGAGAAAGCACCACCTTTGAATGCACTGCCTCAAACACCTAAAAGTTGTTTTTAAATCATCAAGTTTAGAGAAAAATTTAAAAAGAAACAAATAAAACAAACTACTCCCTCTTTTCCATCTACAGAGAATCATCTGTTAAAGAACACATAATTAAAAACAAGGAGATCCATGGTGTGCTTGAATAAACACTTTCAGTCCTTTGTTTAGCTTTGCTGGGATACAGCAGTCAGTCTTTCAGGAAGTGGGCAAATTAATTTCACATTTTGTTGTGAAAAATTAAGACTAAGATGTTTGCTGTCATCTACGTCTAGGTTAACTATGGATGGTTAATTTTGTGGCATCTCATCATCTTATTTCTCCAAATTCAGCCTTTTTTCCTCACTTTCTTCTTAGCATTTTCCCCCATTTAGCGCTCATTCTAGGCCCCTCGTTAACTGCACATTTGTTGTGGGGGGAAGCAGAGTTTGTCACCTCAGAATATGCCTTTAATATTATTTTAAGATATTTATTTTTAAAAAGCCAAAGTCTCAAAAGGGACCTTTGACCCTCCCCCTTACCTGCTTAAAGGAACTCAGAAAAATCTTAAAGAAAGGGAGCTGTCCCCTTCACATAATATAAATTAAGTGTGGCAAATGGGGAACCAGCAAAGTTTGTATGGGAGACTCCCCTATGTGTCCCATTGTTTCTGGTGGCCCTTCAATAATTTGTTTACCAAATGTTTGCCCTTTATCATCTACTTGTGAACTGCCTACTTTCCCTTTGAAGTCCCAGACCCCTGCCTCCCTCTCCATAGTCCAGAAGGGCATGTAACCCGCCAAGGCCCGATTTGTCCTCAGGTCCCATGCTCTGTGGAACCCTCGTATGTACATACATAATATATTTTGTTATTTGTTATTTTCTCCTGTTAATCTGTCTCATGTCAATTTAATTATTAGACCAGCCAGAAAAACTTAGAAAGGTACAAGAAAAATTATTTTCCCTCCCCTATATTTTTATGGTCCAGTTTGCCACTGCCTAGAAGAGCATCTCCTGTCTGCACTGAGAGAGACTCTTTCTGAAGCCATTACTAGTCAGAAGCAGCCACACAGAAGTACTCAGAATGGATTTGTTTAATGAATTGATAAGTCCTCTTACCCACATTACTCATCTTAAATTGTCTAAAGTGGTATGTGGGTTTTTTGTGGGGGTTTTTAAATCTTTTATATAGTCCCATAGGAATTAAGAAATATACTCAAAAAGCAGTAGAAATATATTATGTAAGCCAACAATTTTCATCCAGTGTGCCACAAGAATTTTTAAAGCATGCAGTGCCTGACTATTTAGTCAGGGGCACTTACCTATTTTCCCTTAGATTGTCAAATTAAAAAAATGACAACAGCCAATACAGCAATAGCTGTCCAGTGTGAATGAATCCAAGTTATACATGTGTAAGGTTGTTGTTTTTTTGTCAGATTGGCAAAAATGCTTTTTGGTGTGCCACAGAATTTTAGCAATTAGTTTCTGTGTGCCATGAGATGAAAAAGGTTGAGATCACTGACTTAAGCAAATGTAGAACCTAAATATAGTGCATATTCTAACAGTAGGTTGCAGCAGATGGTTCACCAATAATAACCAACTTTCTCTCTTCTCTCCTTTCATAATAAGAAACAATGAATAAACACTTTAAAATTGCTTTTTATCAATAAGGGGGGAAAAAATCAAAGAAAAGGGGAAATCAATGCTTTTTATTGACTGACTCTTAGATTCCATGAGGCTGAAGTGAGATGTGACAATACAAAGCACTTTTCACATGTCAGAGTTCGCTACTGAGGACTGGAAAATGATACAGGGGACCGTAGAAACTGGCCAGAAAAACTTTTTTTTTAATCTTAATTCTTTAAATTGCTAGCCGTTTGTGACCAAGGTCTTACAAGGTATCCCCCTTTGGCGTAATAAATGTTTCTATGGCTCAGGAGTCTGGGCACCACTCAGCTGAGTGCCTCTGTCTCAGGGTCTCTCACAGGACTGCAATCAAGCTGTCCATCAGGGACGTTCAAGCAAGAAATTCAATTTTAGAAGAGAAAGCAATGGCCAGGCAATTAATTCGTGCATTTTTAAAAGCTTAACTGTATAGAGAAAAAGTCAATAATATTTCTAAATTAGTAATTTATCTCATTTATGAAATTGAAGAGAGTATTAAGACGATTTAAACAGATTTTCAGTTTATGGTTGATTCTGAATGAGAATCCATAATAGAGCAGAGGCATAGATTTTTCTGAGATGACTGTTATTCAGAATCATGTCTACTTGGCTTTGGCGTGCAGGGAAGGCAAGGTGTCCATAGGAGCTTACAGCCTCACCCTCTCAGCATTCCCCTGTTAAAAGCCTCTGGAGCCCAGCTGGTGCAGCTCAGTAGTTGAGCGTCGACCTAGGAACAAAGAAGTGACCAGTTGACTTCCAGTCGGGACACATGCCCAGGTTGCAGCTCAATCCCCAGTCAGGGGCGTGCAGAAGGCCGCTGATAGATGATGTCGCTCTTATCTATGTTTCTCTCTCTATCCCTCTCCCTTCCTCTCTCTCTAAACATCAATAAAAACATATTTATAACAACAGAAAAAGAAAAGAAAACCTTCTGGAGCCCCCTCACTCATAGGATAGAAACCAAATCCTTAGCCTATCCACTGAGCCCTGTAGTGTTTGGCCTCATTCTGACCGTCCCCTCCTCTTCAGTTTTCTCATACTCCCAACCTCCCTCACTAGATCTCAGCTCTTCTATGTGCTTATTTGAATTATCCTGGCCATTATGATAGATAATTATGACCTGGTAACACCAAGACTTTCCATTTTAAATTTTTGTGGAAATTATCCTTATCAGAAATGTTACTGATCAAAGCCAAGCTATTGAAAGTCAACAACAGAAACCATATCCTATTGAAGTTGGGATTCTGAGAGATCTATCATTGTTTTTTTAAGTTGGTGACTTGACATTCATTCCTCTACTCATTCATTCAGCAAGTATTTACTGATTACCATCCCTGTGCCAGGCATTAGGATCATGAGGGTCACCCCAAAGCCTGAGAAGTCCACAGTCTTATGGAGCAAAAACATCTTGCTTTACTCAAAGGACAATCAAAGAAAAAAGACAGTTTCAGGTCAGAAGGTAGAAATGATCTTCCAAAAAAATTTCACTGTGATTTGAATAGTAAAAGTTATCAAAATGGACTTAGATGAAGTGATACCATTATCCTGAGGAGTAAGCAAAACAGGTGCAAAGCTCAGCCTGCATCCCCACAGGCACATATAATGTCTATGAAAGTCTGAAAAATCTTCCCAGGGGCCATTGTAAGACATGATAGATGCTCTTCTTTCTAGGAAGATTTACGTGTGATTATAACTGTCCTATCTGAGGGCCAAAAACATTTTCATATGGCTTTCATAAGTTCTTTATCCAAAAAGAATGACAACCCAAAGGTACACTCTGTGCTCCCCATTTGCTCAGGAGGCCCCCAAGACCATGGACATGTTCAGTGACTCACTAGAAAAACTCACGGGACTCAACATATATTTTACTCACAGCTACGGTTTATACGGTGAAAGGATGTCCAACAGGATCAGCAGGGAAGAGAGATACAGGTGAAGTCTGAAGAAATCTATTTTCAGGCTTCCTATGCTCTCTCCCTCCAATGAGAGAACACACAGGAGAATGCTCCTTTCTCTACCAGCAAAAAGTGATACAGGAGCAATGTTTCAGCCCAGGGCGCCCATCAGACACCCTGCACCAAGGTTTTATTGGGACTGGTTATGTGGCCAACCTCTGCCTGGCAATTAGCAGAATTTCCGACTCCCAGAATAAAGCGGGTGTTCACCATTAATGAAAGTGTTTGCGCAGTCCAGGCATAGCGAATCGTCTTTATCCATTAGAGAACGGAGAGAACATTCTAGAACCCAAGATCCCAGGCGCCAGCCAAGGGCCCAACTTGCCCTTCTAAAGTTGGACTTGCTGTATTAACTCTTCTGCACACAATTCTTCACACCTCCTTTCAGAATGTATGTTGTAGGAAATAAAAAAACTCATGTTTATCTCACTCTGTATATGTGGCTAAAGAAAATATGGTTAGCCTCAATTTTTTCTTTAATATTTTTTTATTGATTTCAGAGAGAGGAAAGGAGAGGGAGAGAGAGATAGAAACATCATTGATAGCTGCCTCCTGCACACCCCCAACGGGGGATCGAGCCCGCAACCCGGGCATGTGCCCTGACCAGGAATCGAACCCCGATCGCCTGGATCCTAGGTCGACGCTCAACCGCTGAGCCACGCCCGGCCGGACCAGCCTCAATTTTTAGATATTATTATCACTAGAGCTATTACTAGGAATTATCATTTTTAGATGAATGTTACTATTAATAATATTGTTGCTGTCTAGTATTAATTATTATTAGTGGCAATATTATTAATTCCTATGATACACTGTGTATCATACTTCAAGAAATAGTCATATTAACCCAATCAATGACTGTTGACATTCTCTGAAAGGGTTTAACATGCTAACATCATGCAAACCTTAGCAGATTCTGTGTTTTCTTATTTTAGTTTTCTTCTGATCTGTTGCCTTCTTTACCAGGACGGACTTTCTGCAGCTTGACGGGGCCAACCATGGATTTCAGGCGCGTGAAGGACTATTTCTCCTGGCTCTACTATCAATACCAAATCATTAGCTGCTGCGCCGTCCTGGAGCCCTGGGAGCGATCCATGTTCAACACCATCTTGCTGACCATTTTTGCCATGGTGGTGTACACTGCCTACGTTTTTATCCCAATCCACATCCGGCTGGCCTGGGAGTTTTTCTCCAAAATGTGCGGCTATCCCAGTACACTCCCTAACTGAGCTTGCCTGCGCCCTGAGAATTGGCATCGCCTAAGCATGTGTGGCTTCCGGCTCCTTGTTTCAGGGGAGCAGTGTGTCTTCGCCCACTCTCTGACCCGAAAGGCTCTCACTTCTCTATGCACTCTTAGGTCCTGCCTGAAATCTGAGATCGATGTCTCTTTAGGTTCTTTTGTACACGTTACATTGTGCATCAGACTGTAGATTATACAATGACCTTACCTCACATACCGTATTTTCTCAACTTAAATCTATGACTTTAGTTTGTTTGTTTTTAATCAGAAAATTTCATATAAAATTTTTCTGGAAAGTAGGCTCATAAGAAACCTACTAGAATCATGTTTCAAATGCTCCCTTGATACCGATTCTGTACTAAAGGATATATTTTTTCAAATTTGTTCATAGGCTCCTGTCAAAAGTGTCATATCCTTGTTTACAATATAAAGATGTGAATAAATTATATGCGCCCCCTAAAGTATTGTTTTTTACTAAACTACTGACACCTAAAATTCTTTTACTTCAAGTGCAGAAGAATAGGCTGGAGGCAATTATCTCCTTTCAGACACGGTTCCTGAATTGTTTCAAATGCCTCTAAAAGTCTGGCTTTATAGCAATTTAAAATCAAAAATGTTGATTTTAGATAACCCAGTAAGTATTATAATACAAAATAATTTTAAGTATAAGAAACAAAATATAATCGAAGTAAATTCAGACTTTGTGACTTGTGATGTTGTCTTGCCTTGCATGATGCTGGGGGGTGGGGTTGGAAAAAAGAAATTGCTTTTTTTCTGTGCTTTCGCTCAGTGGAGGGGGGAGCATGTATTGGGCTACAGGAAGAAAAGCTAACAAATAGGCTGGAAGTAATATTCTACCAGCAGGAACTCATCAGCTCCAGTTAAATGCTCCTTTGCAGAGCAAAAACGAGATTTATGAAATTTCTTTCAAAGCATTTTAAAAATGATTACAAGTTTTTAATTGTACTACTGAATCAAATGTGAATGCCAAAGATCCAGCATTGCAGTTCTTCTTTCCTCTCAAGAAATATTAATGCTACTAATACTGGAGGGTAAAGATGAAAATAGTTTTTGAACAAGATTTGCACCCTTGTCTGTGTTACAAAGAAAAAAAAAAATTCCAAAAAGAGCTAGAGAGAAAGATGTTCGGCATGCCAAATTAACTTGCATGTTTGTTAAAAAACAAAAACAAACACGTGATTTGACGAAAAACCAGATCTAAACATGTATTTGTTGATTTTTGCAAACTAAAATTAGATTTAATTTTATAAATAAAATATCTGCTTCCAGGTTTGCTTTTTCTTCGTATTGCACTACCTAGGTGTTTACATCCATATTTCTCCCCAAGACTGTATTTCTTACTAATCCAGCGTGGCAGCTGATCTTAAAATGGTAGGGTGAAGGTAACATTTATCAAGGGTCTTCTCCGTGGTGGACACGTTTTGCATGTTGAAGTAGGTGTTAAGGTCTCCCAGTTACAGGTAAGGAGCCTGGAACTTGGAAAAGGTACATTTCTTGTTCAAGGTCCTTTAGCTACTCGTGACAAAGCAAGGAAGCAGATCCAGGTCAGGACCACACTGGGCCCGGAAACATTTGCCACACGAAAGCCCCTGGGAGGACAGTGTGAGCAAATGAAAGTTGATGGAATGGGAGTCACGAACATGTTAGAAAGCAGAACCCATCAAATAAAAGGGGTAAGAGGAATATACGAGAAGACAGCTGAGATCAGAGAAACAACACGCCCAGGTCCCAGCTCCCACTTTGCTGCTTACTCAGGTACTCTGCTCACCATTGCTATGCTGTCCAGGCCCATGTGCCTATTTTGAAAGATTGCTTTCACTTTTAAATATTTAACAGAGGATTCTAAGTTAAAGCATGAACTTGGATGCATTCCCAGTTCACAGTGATTCAACACCTTTAGTGCATGGACCCCTGCTAAGTACTCTTGGAATTCAATCACAAAGATACGGCACTAACCTTCTTAAAATCCTCCTTCTAAAAATAAGAATTAAAGTAAATGTGAACAGACACAGCATGTTTAATAAAGGATATTGCAAACCGCTGCCCCAAGATGTCACTTTAAAGGTAAGCATTTAAAGCAATCAAAATAATAAACACAGGGTACAAAAAAATATAATCAAATACAGCTTCCCAACCTGCAGAAGGGAAGAAAGCTCTGCCTGCCCAGCCTGCTCTGTCAATTCTCTGCACCAGGCAGTGCTCTTTACTTTGACCATAGCCTAGATTAGAAACACTTTTTATATGCTTTTCCTTTGCTTTTATTATTTGTATGTTTCAATGGTTATACAACACTTGGGGGAGGAAGCCAGAGTTTCGTAGTTTAAATAGGCTTGCATTTGTCACTCACTAAACTAGGAATCGAAAAATGTTCCTTCATTGGTACTGGCCAAGTCAACAATGGCTTTTGTCTACTTGTGCAATGCAAAAACCCCACAAAATGCCAAGCAATCAGGCAGTTTTAACATCAAGATAACACTGGTTAGTCTTTAATTAGTAAGTCATGAGTGCAAAAGTGAAGCGACTCGTCCACATTTTCTACTTCTTTACTCTTTCATCACCAACTTCCTTCTTCCTCTCGCAAGTAGAGCGTGTGCCCCTGGAAGCCAGGAAACTAGACCTTACCCCTGAATCCTGGGCATCTCCCCTCATGCCTGGTACAGAGCTTGGCAGATACACATCCTAGGGGATATAACAGTCCCACAGGGAAACAAGGAAGCTCGGTTTGCATTGGGCCAACTAGAATGGACAGCTTCCAGCCATCGACCAAGAGAGTAACATTCATCTATCCATTCATTCAACAAGTGTAGGGAAGTCAACCATGTACTAACAGATACGGAGAGATGAGTAGATAAGTGATGAAGAAAGCACAGTAGAAACTAGGTGGTAGATATTCATTGTAAAATTCTCTTAACTTTACTGTATGTTCAAAATTTTTATTTAAAAAACGCCGGGGGAAAAGTCTACCATATGCTATTCATGGAGCTTACTACTAGGAAACAAAAATGAACAAGACAGAAACAGAAAACAAAATCCCTGAACTTATGAATCATACAATCCTGCAGGCAAGATGACACAAGAAAAAATATGCAAACAAAATTTTTATGAGTTGTAAGATCTTATGAAACAAACAGCAGAGTGCTGGAGAGAGCAACAGATGGTTGAACATGGTGGGCTCTGGGGGTGGGGCAGGGGGCGGATGCTGCATTAGAGTAAAATCCAAACTTCTCTCAAACTTCTAATCCATATGAAATTCAAAATTCAAATTGCTCCTTTTTGTTAGTGCATTTTTGTTTCTAACAGAGGCAGCACTTAATCCAGATGCCTGATTGTGGGGGCGGGAGAGACTGCCAAAGAGAGGAGAGCTCCCTAGGCCCACCCTCCCAGGCTCTGCCTGGCACAGCCGCACCCGCACAGGGCAGGTAAATTCCCTGGGTGGCACTGTCCTGATCACAGGGACCAGTGATGGAGGAGACCCCCTTGTCACATGGCTCAGATGCCCACTCAGTGGTGAGACGAGAGGCTGGGGGAGAGTAGGGAATAGGGAAAGAAAAGCAGCGTTTCCCTTTTGTTTTCTGAGTTCATGAAGGGCCTCACTTTCTAGTAAACTGCAATACTTCTCTTCTGTCCTAATCCCTCAGAGAACTTCTCTGATCTCATTTATTTTTCCTAACATGGGCCATACCTAAATTACATCTTGTTCATATTAATTTTTTAGCTTCTTTTGTTAAAATAATTCACTTTTGCCCAAGGTAAAAGAAATATTCTGAATGACGAGGCAATTCATTCTGAAGACCAGGATGATCTGCCCTTCATTCCCCGGCGGCTCCTCTGTCTTCCCTCCAAGGCCTGGTTTGTAAGGATCCCTCTCCTCCCACCATCCCCAACCCCACTCCATCACTCTCCCTCGGGGCTCAATAACTCATTAGAACTTAGGGAGTGAAGTCTCTCCGGAGACTCTTCCAATGAAAAAGTCTACAGTCTCTGAAATTCTAGTGACTCTCAGCATTTCAGCTTCTGGAAGCTTTCCCTGGTCATTGGTAGGAACCTGACCTTTCCCTGACATTCTATGGCCTTTGTAACCCTAGCACTAACCATCATTGTTGTGGGAGACAGGTAACATAGTCCATAAATAAAAACAAACAAGCAAACAAATACACAAAAGCCCAAAGAGCAATCAACCCGTCGCTTACCTGAGATCCAGGTGAGGAAACCTAGTTCATTCAGTGGGTGGCGGGGGGATGGGAGAGGCCCCCTGGAGCGCTCAGCCTGCATTTCAGTCGCCATCCCTGCTCACCCTACTGCAAACCCCCTCCTCCGAGTCCCCACAGGCCCTCAGTCCTTCTAGCCTCTTCATGGCCCTCACCCTGCGACCTCAGTCTTCACCCCCGGATGGGAGGAACAAGGGATTCAGGGCGAGGAGGGGCAGCTCTGAACAGAATCATGAAAGAGGGAGGCGGTTCGTGCCCTGGTCTAGCCAACAGACAAAGTATCCAAAAAATCCGCTGTCAGGTGTGACCATCGAGGGGCTTACCGCCGCTTGCCCTAATTATGCAAAGGGGATACCATTCTCCCAGCCCTGAGTTACATTTCCCTGGACCAGAGAACGTACCGGGCTCCAAGAAGGAGAGAGAAAAAGAAAAGTCTGTTGCCCACATGTGCACGCTCCGTGCCTCTCCTGTGTCAGTTCCCCGAGTTACGCAGGCGCTGCTTCTGGAGGGCTCAGACCTTGGCTTTGTTTTCGCCATGTGCTCTTGTAAAAGCCCAGGAAATGAACAGATAGAGGAATAAATTTAAAAATATGCTATTCCAGTTTTGGATGCAGAGTCATATTCCAGACGCGGCTTGTCATTAGAATTCGTATCGAGTGACTCACCTCTAAGGAGAGTGTCCAGAGCCCGAAGGAGTCGTGAGCTTCGTTGCCGACCCTTCCTTGTGGCCTCCCACCTGCTGCTGCTACAGTCACTCGCACGGCAATCCCACGTGACCAGTGCTAAAAAGGAGAAGACTCGAAATAGGTGAATTGCCAAGTGATATATTTGCTCCCCAAGCACCAAACCATTTGTTCTCAGCTGTGGCTATACATTAGAATCATCAGGGAGTTTTAAAAACTCCCAATGCCTGGCCCCACCCGGAAAAATCAAATCAAAATCCCTGGAGCCCCCTTCCCCCCAGCACAGCAGTTTAAAAAGCTCCCCAGGTGATTTTAATATTCGGCGAAGATGGAGAACCTCTTGACCAGGGTTTCAGGGAATGCTAATTAAGTCATTAAAATCCAGCTTGGAACTGGACACTCCACTCGCTCTCTCCCGCTTGCTGGCTTCCCTGCACATGTCTACACTACAGTCAAGGCCCCACTGTTTCTCTACATACAGTCTTTTTTTTAAAAATATATCTTTATTGATTTCAGAGANGCTACGGTCAAGGCCCCACTGTTTCTCTACATACAGTCTTTTTTTTAAAAATATATCTTTATTGATTTCAGAGAGAGGAAAGGAGNACTACAGTCAAGGCCCCACTGTTTCTCTACATACAGTCTTTTTTTAAAAAATATATCTTTATTGATTTCAGAGAGAGGAAAGGAGAGGGAGAGAGAGATAGGAACATCAATGATGAGAGAGTCATTGATCGAGCCCGCAACCCAGGCATGTGCCCTGACCGGGAATCGAACCCCGATTGCCTGGATCCTAGGTCGATGCACAACCGCTGAGCCACGCCCGGCCGGGCTACATATAGCCTTAATTGCAATAAACACAACCTCCCTACAGTTCTTCAGTGAAAGCGCTAAACACTCCCATAAGGCTGGAAGTACTAAGTAGTTAATAATATCACACTCCCCGCCGGATTTTATTCCATGTAATGATGTCTTCAATCATTTCATCACGCATCATTTAAAAGCAGTAAAATGTCCCAGT